TGTACAAAGTTTGGCTTGGAGTTTATCTTTGTTAATATATTGAAGATGGTTTTCTACCAGTGAAGGTCCATTTTTTTTTTTTACTTTGCCAATGTTTTTAAATTTTTTCATAACTTGCATAAAAACTAGCCTTCAGTTTTTAGTTTATTATTGTTTTAGCAAGAATTTGATAAAGGTCTACCTAGTTGAAGTTTTATTTGGTTTGCTATTCAGAGAGTGTTACTAATTTTCTGTTGCCATGCTTTACTAGAGATAGATAATTGTAGTATTTTATATTTTGACAATATTTAGCTATGGCCATAAAACAAGTAAAGGGCTAAATGTGGCAAAACTGGTTATGTTGTATGTAAATAGTTGGTGCAAGAGTGAAATGGTCTAGATCCGGAGCTTAGCACAAAAGGCCTTCAATGCCATTTTTGGGCCAAGAACGACCCTGCCTAGGCCCACTTATCTCACTTCAGTTATAATAATAATAATAATAATAATAATAATAATAATAATAATAATAATAATAATAATAATAATAATAATAAACATGCTGTAAATCGCTGGTGCGTTTCACGCAGTACGATTTGCAATGTGTACAAAAATAACGAGTACGCGACATCGCGACTTGTTCAAATAAATTTCATAAATACTAAAAGCGGTTTAAAAGGTAGAAATGCACAATAGGTTTCAAATATGTGATAAATCAGATAAATGGGCCAATTATTAATAGTTGAGCGACCGTGCTAAAATTACGAAATTCGGGAGTGCCTCACACCTTTTTCCGGGTTAATAGAATTCCTTACCCGGTCTTCTATGTTCGCGGACAAAAAATAGAGTCAATTTCCTCGATTTGAGATTTTAAAATAAACTGGTGACTTGGGACACTGTAAATTATTCCAAGTGGCGACTCTGAAACTGAAATAAATAATCTCATTTCGATTTATGTCACTTTAATTGGAAAAACTTCATATCCCTTCGAGAAAAAAAGAGGTGTGACATGTGTAAGACATGAAAGAAGACTAAAACAAAAAAGAGAATAAATCATTTTCGAGAAACCAAGAGAGGGAGAAATTTTTCTAGAGGAAACCCATATCGAGAACTGAAGAAAAAAAGGTTAAAAATGAAGAAGGTGAAAAATAAAGAGGAAAGGTGAAAAAATAAGGAAGGATGATGAAAAAATGAGGAAGAAAGATGGATATAGCTGAAATAAGGAAAATATTTATTAAAAACAATAAATTTGAAAGATAGTTAGACTAATTAGCCATTATTTTCTGTCATGTGGGCCATTTTGATGGCTTTTTTGAGCTGTCACGCGCTTTCAAGTGAGTATTTACTGTTATGCGGCGCCTTCCTGAAGTTCCTTGGAAGGGTNGAAGAGAGACACCAGTACAGAGAATTGTTTGATTGCTTGGTCCTCTTAATGATGCTTAAAAATAATAAACCAAAGTTACATGACTTGACCTAAATAAGCTATAGAAGCACGCTAAAATAAAATGCAGTAAAACTAATCTATATTTACAATGAAAAGGACTTAGTCTTCTACAAAATAGAAACAAGTCCGTTGGCAGCAACTTTGTCTTTAGCATCAGGGTCGGCGCACGCGGCGTTGTCTGCGCGCGCGATGTTGTTGGCATCTGCCTGTGGCTGGACGCTGGTGAAGGCTATCGGTGGGGCGACAGTGGCATATGCGCGCTTGTCACTTTGAGCTGCAGAGACCACGGGGCCGACCGTGACGTTAGGCGTTGGGAGGCTTGTTAGGACGCCACGGGGCGCGTCCGAGGGGTCATGGGGCATGGCTGGAAAGCCGCCCATGACATTACACATGTTATGCCAGGTCAGCAACAAGAGGGTTTTAATACGAAGGGCAATATAGTTCAGGAGAATTATGGGAACACTGAATAATTTAAATAGAAAACTGATAAAAATATGATAATTTAAGGGAATTTTAGGATATTAATCTTTTCCTTTTGACTAGTATTTTTTTAAAATCAAACGTAAGCATAATCAATAGTCAAAGTGTTTATTAATATTCATTCCGTCAAGTTAACAATTGGGTGCAATCATTTTGCCAAAAATCTACCCACTTCAGCTGGCGGACAAAACTCAAGGATGGAGAGAGCAACACCTGTACGAAGCCACCACACCTCCACCGCATATCTGTTGACGTGACGTCCTGCCGGCGAACAACTCTCCCTTCCACTACCGCCTCCGGCAATGTTTCTCGCTCCGGCGATCGTTCTCCACCACCGGCGACCAATTCCCACAGTTTTCGACGGTAAATGTTTTGATTGTTACACAACAAGAAGCTATTGATTAAAGGGAAGGCATTATTAAGGAAAGTGGCAATTTGAACCTTTTCCATTCTTTTTATTTTTTCCATTACTACTCAGTTCTGTCTCAATATTACACGTATTTGTTCTACCAAATATTGTCAATTGCTATCCTTGACTGTGGGAGAGGATTGCTGGTCTGCTAGAAGGGCTGTAGTTATTTTTCTGAAAGAAAAAAACATTAGTAAAGAACTTCTGAAAGATAAAAGGCGTATTCTGGAAAATTGGCCACTGTATTTCTTGTAGAAATGACATTAGGTAGTCAAACCATTATTTAAGAATTAGTCAATGCGTCCTGAATTTCAGTTTTTCAAAAGTGTCGTGAGTTGTTGAAGTGAAAATTTTCAGTTTAAAATTTCAATATAAAATAAGTACTGACCAATCCCTAAATAACATCATCGAGAATGACTATATGTGCGCTTACCCCGTATTTCTTTTAATCACCCGGAAATTAAAAAACTAGTGGCACATGATTTGAAACTCGGTTAATGGGCTCGCCCCTTTAGCAATAGGCCACCATATTTACTTACATAATCTGTATTTAGCCATCAAAATTTAGTGGCAGGTAACCAAGCAAGCTAATATGAATTCAGAGTTTCTGATTAACCAGCTAATTATTAATTAAGCCAGTGGTTGCCGCCTATCATGTTTCCTTATTTTTATACTGTAGGCCCCTCAATTAAAAAATATTAATGCGCTTCCCCATATGGAACCCATTTCTGTAACGGCAAAGGTTTAAATATACGCCCGTACTTTCGAAAATAATATAAGAATACCTTTCGTTATACTATTGAGTTATCTATACCCATGGAGTCATATTTTGGGTTTAAATATACCCCTTATTTAAACAGAGGGACACGTGTCATCGTCATGTTGGCCAATTCCAAATATCTCCTAATTAATTAAAAAGACCCATTACCCATACCCGAAAAGTAATTTTCAAAAATAATTTTTTTTTGTAAAAACTGGAAAAAGCTGATTTTTTTTAAAAAAATAAAAACTGAAAAAAACGAAAATATTATTTTTCTAGTTTTTACAAAAAACAGCTTTAAACATAATTGAAAAATATTTTCTAAAATAATATTTTTGTAAAAACTGAAAAATAATTTTCTAAAGCAATTAAAAACGGGGAAAAACTGAATTTCTTTTACTAAAAATTGATTTCTTTTTACTAAAAATTGAAAAAATCGAAAATATCTTTTTTCAGTTTTTAGAAAAATATTGATTTAAAAAAAACTGAAAAATAATTTCTAAAGCAATATATTTTTGTAAAAACTAAAAACTAAAAACTGAAAAGCAATTTTTCTAAAGCAATGTTTTTGTAAAAACTGAAAAACGAAAAAATATTTTTTTCCAGTTTTTAGTTTAAAAAAATTCAGCTGTTTTTCAGTTTTTAATTGCTTTAGAAAGTTGTTTTTCAGTTTTTACAAAAATATTTTTCAGTTATTTTTTAAAGCAGATATTTTGTAAAAATTGAAAAAAAAAAAGTATTTTCGTTTTTTTTTTCCAGTTTTTATATAAAAAGCTTTAGAAAATTATTTTTCGGGTATGGGTAATGAGTATTTTTAATTAATTAGGAGATATTTAGAATTGACCAACAGGACGATGACATATGTCTCTCCATTTAAATGAGGGGTATATTTGAACCTAAAGTATGACTGCATGAGTATAGATATCCAATAGTATAACGAAAGGTATTCTTAGATCATTTTCGAAAGTACATGATATATTTGGACCTTCGCCCTTTCTGTAAAGTCAAGTCTTTCTTTATATATATTGAATTTTCTTCTTTTCACACTGAAATATTTCTCATCAATTGAAGTTGTCATCCCATTTTAAAAAGTTAAGTATTTGTTTTTTCAAATATAAAATTAACTTGGTGGTAATATGATTGCAACACCATTTCAATCTCTAATCTCCATTAAAACCAGCTAATTGAAATTACTATATATAACCAACTTAATTTATAATATACTAACACCCATGTGGTAACAGGGGCTTAGCTAGAGTCGGCGGGTTCGGTCTAATCCAATAACTTTAGTTTAAACCATATATTTAGCTTAAAAAATCAATTAAATATTTATATATTATTAATTTAAAATTTAATAATTTAAAATAATTAAAATCTTGAACCCACATATGTGTGGTATAATATTTTATTTACCTAATTGAAGTTGTCATCCCATCCAAATAAGTCAAATCTTTAGTTCTTAATTACAATTTACTTGGTAATTTGTTTGCAGTCCTTTGAGGTATGCTTTTTTTTCTTCTGTCTTCTGAGATCTTTTTCTTGGTTACTGTACTGTATGTTTTGTGCTTTATCCATTTGTTGATTGTTATTCATATTAAGTTTCTTATATTCTTTTCTCCAAGTATTTCTTATATTAAGTTTTAGCTTTTTGCGCTAGTACAAGTCTAATTTTAGGATAGATCTAAAATTTTGGGAAATCCATAGGTGGAGATCAAACAAAGTAATATCAAGATGTTAATAGCAACAGATTATGAAAGAAGAGAAATAATGGATTTGCAACTTGGGACTTTTATAGACTTCTTCTAGTTCATCGTTTTGTTTTTCATTTGTAAATGAACTTTCTTCCTCCTCGTTAAAATAGTGCTAGAAAAAAGTATACATTAATGTTTGCAGTTCACCTCTTGAATAACAGTTTCAACTTTGCCTACCTGATATAAAGAGTTTATTTGTGGAATTTTAATGCTTTCTAATTCTATTTAGAGATATAATTTTACCAGAATTTTCAAGTAAAGTTCCCTTTCCAGATTTTGATGTTGGAAAATCAAAGGGTGCAATATGTTCTTGCCGCAGCATTTTCTTCATACTGCTTTTTAATTAAATTTTACTTTATCAAAAAAAAAAGAAAAAAGTAGGGTGCAATATGTGGCAAGTTTTCCTTAGTATTTCTTTCATTACAAATACATACTATTCAATACGTTTCAATTTATGTGATACACTTTCCTTATAAGTCTGCTCCAAAAAGAACGACACGTACATTTTTATATTTGGAAAAAATTAATTTAAACTTCCCATTTTACTCTTAATAAAAAGCTTTTATAGCCACACAAATGTTAGCATGTTTATGACCATAAGTTTCAAAAGTCTTATAACCACATAAATGTTATGACATATTTAAGATTACAAGTTTCAAAAATCTTTATCTTTTTTTTAAATTCCGTGTCAAATCAAACTATGTCGCATAAATTGAAACGAGGGGGTAGTTGCTATCGATTTACTTTAGAAAGTAGCTTTCATCTTATAGCATCTCGCTTGTTGTGGAAAATACGTTGTTGGTTTGGTCTTCAATGGGTAATGCCAAGCATGGTCAAAGAAGTTCCGTTTGGCTGGACCTTAGTTGCTCCACGAGCACTGATGTGGACCGTATGGAGAGAGAGTAATAGGATTGCTTTTGATAGAATTGAGAAGGATTTTGTACACTTGAGGAGTAGCCTTTTATCCCTTATTTCCTTTTGGCGCACCCACACGATTCCTGTAGTTATAGAACATCGTTCGTGCAGAACCATAGTTTTTTGTGCATTGAGGGTGAAGGATAGATAGTTGTAAGAGATTAATAACCTGAAAATATGGGTACCAGATCTAGTAAAGACTATTGTTTCACTAATCTTTAACCAAATTCTGAGGATTAGAGATCAAAGATTATAAGTAGTGAAAAACCATATGTAGTAACATTGATGACATGAGCATGAAATAGACACAATGCTTTTTAAAGCTACAAAAAACTCTCAAATCTCTTTTTATATGATCAATTCATAGAATCGATTGAGATTTGAGACAGTGATGACTGAAAATCTACCTGATGTTCTCTCTGTTTTTGCCTTCCTTTTTGCAACTTTATTGATCATATTATATATACCATTGACGTCTTGCAACTTGCAGCTTTCAGGTCATAATTGGAATAGAATAGATATGGCTTATGCTAGTATTGCTTCTCTTATGAGAACAATAGAACTACTCTTGACATCCAATTCGCCAATGCAATCTCTAATTTGTGACTACAAAGAAGAATTTCTCGCTCTTCAGGGAAAAGTTAGTTCTCTGGAAGTATTTCTCAAGAATTTTGAGAAAAGCAATGATACTGAGAAAATGGCATATTTGGAATCGCAGATAAAAGACGTGACAAATGCTGTGGAACACACAATTCAACTGAGACTAACAGAAGCTGTAATGGCAAATGATGAAATACAGAAAGAAAAGGAACATAAGAGGCTTTTTGATAGCCTAAAACAAGTAGCAGAGGAGATTGATCATGTCCAGAATGAGTCACCAAACATTCAAGATTATAATACGGCCAGCCATTATCAAAGGAAATGGTTGCTGGAAAAACTGACACAATATGGTGGCTCGTCTGGTAACCTCAAAGTCATCTCAATCATCGGGATGGGGGGCATTGGTAAAACGACTTTAGCAAAAGAAGTTTACGATTATGAATCAATTCGATCTCATTATGATGTTCGTGCCTGGACTACTGTATCTCAACATTATAATGTAAAAGATATCCTGGAAAGCCTTCTGCATTCCACAATGCGTGACAGATTTTACATGGGTGACGAGTCAGAGCTAGCAGACATGCTACGAAAAAGTTTAATAGGTAGGAGATATTTAATTGTCATGGATGACATGTGGAGCAGTAACGCATGGGATGACGTGAGACATTGCTTTCCAAGTTACAACAATGGGAGCCGAATATTGTTGACTACCCGTAACAAAGAAGTAGCTTATTATGCTGGTACAGAGAATCTTTCTTTGCAGATGAACCTCATGGACCCAGATGAGAGTTGGAACCTTGCCAAAAGTATGGTGTTTGCAAATGAAGCATTTCCATATGAGTTCGAGACTATTGGGAAGCAAATTGCAGAGTATTGCACAGGGTTACCACTAGCTATTCTCGTGATTTCTGGGCTTCTCTCCAAATCTAAAAGGACAGTAGAAGATTGGGAAAATATTGCTGAAGATGTCTTGTCATTTGTCACAAAAGATCCATATGAACGATATGTACATGTGCTTGGGTTGAGTTACAATCACTTAACCAGTGACCTAAAAGCATGCCTTCTGTATTTTGGGATTTTTCCAGAAGACAGTGAGATTTCGGTGAAGAGTTTGGTGAGATTCTGGATGGCTGAGGGCTTCCTGAAGTCAGAAAAAGATTTGGAAAGAGAGGCTGAGAAGTGCTTACAAGATCTTATTGACAGACATCTAGTTCTTGTCTGCAAGAAAAGTTTGGATGGCACAAAAATTAGATCATGTAAGGTTCATGATCTAATACATGAGCTGTGCTTGAGAGAATTAACTCAAAGCCAAGACATTTTTGTCATGAAAGACATTGTTTTTGATAAATCATATGAAGATGATGATTTGGATGAAGGTGATGATTCGGGTGGAGATGGAGATTCAGATGCAAAAAAAGCTCAAAGCCATGCTTTTCCTCTAGAGAGTCATCATCTCAGTACACATAAAATGCAGCCCTTTAAGCGATGGACTGATGATGGAATGTGTTTGGCCCTTCTTACTCCCGAACATGATCATTTGATAAGCAGGCAGACAGATGATGATGATTACACTCTCTTGAAACGAACTCGTTCCATTTTCTCTTTTTGTCTTAATTCAACTTTTACTATAAATCCAGAGCTTATTCATTTTAGTTTACTTAGAATCTTGGACTTGGGTACCACAAAGTTAATAAGTTTCCCTCCACATGTACTATGTCTCATTTGGTTGAGGTACCTAGCATTGTCTGGCACTGGCGAGGATTTTTACGTTCCTCCAGAAATTTGCAGATTATGGAATCTGCAAACACTCATTATTGTTAAATTGAATTTTCCTGGAGATGTGACTTTTACGGAGAAAATTTGGGAACTAATGCAATTAAGGCAGCTCAGACTACATAAATTTTATTTGTCAAATCCTCCAAGGGAATCTGATGACGAGGAGAGCTACTTGGCTTTTTCAAACATACATACTATTTCTGGCTTGTCTCCAAGTAGTTGCACAAAGGAGGTTATTTCAGGGATTCGGAATGTTAAGAAGTTAGTAATCTGTGGATATGCCAATGACTATGAAATCTTTCAACGATCTGGACTTTTCAACAATCTTGCCCATCTGCATCAACTTGAAACATTGAGTGTTGAACTTGTTCGTAAGTGGGACTCACCAGCGACTATTCCAAGTATAGCAGCTTTTCCAGCAACACTGAAGAAGTTGAAGTTGGTCTCAACTGGTGTAAACTGGGAGGACTTGAACATCGTAGGTGAGTTGCCTAACCTTGAGGTGCTGAAGCTGATGCGGAACGCTTGTATTGGCAAAGAATGGTATCCAATTGAAGGAGGATTTACTCGATTGAAGCTTTTGCTAATTGTGCATTGTGATCTCAAGTACTGGAAAGCCACAGATATTTACTCACTGCAACTCATTGAGTTAACTGACTGTACAACCGAACTCGAGGCTTCTGCTGCACGAATTCAACAAGAACAAGAAGACCTTGGAATCAAACCCGTGGATGTTCGTATCTCATGTAAGTATAAAATTATATAATGTTCTTGCATTTCTTTTGCTTGCTTTTATCTTTTCTAAACTTTTCTATTCTTGATTAATACACAACATTTTGGATGACTCTATGTTTCATTTTGATTGCGTGAGTAAAACAATATTGCAAATAGTTAATAAAGGAGATGCCAAGTTATAGTTGTAAATATAATGACCAAATAATTATTGCGATTAGCCATATTAACTTAATAAAAATGATAATTTGATTAGTAAAATAATTCAAGTAGTCATAAATACCTTTATTTTGATAGTTGTAGGTGATGTGTTTGCCTTTAAATCATCCGACCCTCCTTGAGTTTAAGGATGTATTCCTTCCGTTCACTTTTACTCGTCATGTTTCGCTTTTCGAGAGTCAAACTACATAAACTTTGACCAATATGTTAACATATATTTTTTTTACCATATTGCTATGAGAAAAATTACAAATTATAGTATTTTTTGTATAGTTTCCGATTATCAAAATTTTAATTTTAAAATATTAAGAAAATTTAATGCAATTTAGCTTAAAAAATTAGTCAAATTAGACTCTCGAAAGCCGAAATATGACAAGTAAAAGTGGACGAGGGGAGTATAATGTCTGAACACTTTAAACTTATAGGTGCAATAATGTGATTCCTACACAAACGCTTGTATTTGTAGTCAAATAATTCATTATTGCTTTGGAACTAACCAAAAAAAAAAAATCATTATTGCTTTGGAGGCTTCATTTGGTGTTATAAAAAAATTAAAATGTTTCCTTTGGACATTTCTTGTGAGAACTTCTACCAAAAAGTCATCAAAATTTAATGTAGTGGATTTGTTTGAACAAGCTCTAAATCTGCCTTTGGCTTTGGATGCTTGTGCCTTGCCTTGTCAAACTAGTACTGACCCTTTTATGTTTCTTTCCTACAGCTAATTAAAGCGGAAGTTATTTGGGAAAATGACACTTTATAGCCACTTTCAATATAATAGTAAAAAAAATGTATATATTTTGTATACTTTTTGTATAGATATACATTTTGTATGTTATATATAAAAATTATACAAATTTTATACACTTTTGGCTATTGAATGTAAATAGTTTCTGGCACGGGCTAGAAGTGATAATACCCCAAGTTATTTCGATTCAGAGCGACATTAGCTAAGGTATTTAAGAGCAGAAGGATTGAAGTTCATTGTTCCAATTTATCATTACGTTACCAGGTTTTAGCAATACTATATGGTTTTCAAGGAGATGTTATGTCTCTAAATTGTAATAATGGGTCTAAGTTTTATATTACCATACTTTGAGTTTGCAGAATTGTTAGTGATATTACTGAACTTTCAAATATCTGTTATGTGCATCAGCATCTTGATTGTAATTGGATTTAGAGATGGAAAAATAGGTGTAAAATATAAACCTAACAGGTTGCTCACTCAGTGTTATCAAAAGCTCATTTAAGGCGCGATGAAGCCCTGAAACTCATAAAAGCACAGGGAGGGCGCTTCGCCTCACTTAAGTTGCGCTTCAGTCTAAGGCAAGGCATTAAGACATGCACCTCATTGCCCATGAGTTTTGTTGTAAATCAAGCGACACTAAACAACTAATATAATCAGAAAATAAGTGTATTATCTATAANTATATATATATATATATATATATATATATATATATATATATATCATTGTGTTTTATTTATTTATTAAAACCCTCACTTTAAGTGCGCTTTATGCTTAAAATTCCAACGGACCTAGAGCGCTTTTCGCTTTTGACAACTCTGGCTCACTACCTATTCCATCTGGGCATGTGATTAGAATTTTTTTCATGAGGGCATAATGGTTAACACGATCACACTAATTGTGGTTGGTAAAGTCATTTATTACAATAACCGTATGCTCTTAAAATATGCATATATAATGGTTATTCTCTTGGTTTAGTTTTCACGGTTGATGTTTTCTTAGAGTATTCATCTTAACTATGTGATTAATTTGCCGATAAATTAAATAAGTATGACATAAAGCGGATTCTATATTTCCAAAAATAAAATGACGATAACATCGATTAGAGATGATGCCAAATTAATGTACTTAGTTACCGCTAATTGATTAACTAGATCATAAAGCCCCGCGTCGCTCAGAGCTAGCATTGTGGCTACGGGTTAGGCGAACCCAGTAGCTTTGGTTCAACCCTTATGCTTGTCTTGAAAAAATCATTAATTAGTTATAAATTAATAATTTAGAATCCAGTAACTTAAAAGGTTTAAAATGCTGAATCCATAAATTTGAAATTTTAGATTCGCCTTTGGCGTCGCTGAAATTTATGAAAACACCAGTAGAATAAAGGAAAAGAAAATTTCATGTTCACCCATTTTCCTTTCAAATTTCAACTAAATAGGCATTTGGACATAAAAATTGTGATTCTTGAAAAAAAGTAATATTTGGAATTAAGTTGAATGGTATTTGAAATTTGAAATTTTATTTGGACATGCATTTCACTTGAAAAAATATTGCAGCTGTGTGAGTGGGAAAATTTGCACGAAAAATTTAAAAAATTAGTCAAAACCATATTTTGGTTTTTGAAAAACTCATTTTAGAATTTTTTTTAAAAACTTACAAAAGGACAAACATGTTTTTGGAATAAGTTCGAAAAAAAGGAAAACAAATCTATGAACAAAGAGAAATTTATACGAAGAGGGACATCCCTTAGTTAAGCAGTTGCAAAATTGAGAGCTCTATGACAAATACTTGAAGCTCATTTGTTCTAACTACTCTCTCCGTTCGAATATATGTTTTGTTTAGGAATTAGGAAAGATAAGCATAATTTATGTATAAAAATTACAGAATTCTTATATTCCTATTTTATAATTAACATAACTTGGTATATGTCCCACTTAATAAAATAAATAAATTATTTGGTGCAAAGGTACTTTTAATATTTGAGTCATATTCAGTTTATGCGTCAAAAATATATTTTTTCTTTTTAAAATTAACTCTCCATTCCTTCCCGTCATTGGAAGGAAGGAGCAGTTAGAATATCTCCAGAGTCCGCTCTTAGGATTTCTTTTTGAATTGTGCTACAGAAGATTGGAAGGCTAGCATGTGTCTTATTATTTTGAATTCGGAAAAGGGTCAAATATATTTTTTTACTTTCGAAAATGATCTAAGAATACTTATCGTTATACTATTGAGTTATTTATACTAATGTAGTCATACTTTGGGTTCAAATATACCCCTCATTTAAACGGAGTGACACGTGTCATCGGCATATTGGCCAATTCTAAATATCTTCTAATTAATTTAAAAGACCCATTACCCATACCCGGAAAGCAATTTTATAAAGCAATTTTTTTTTATAAAAACTGTTAAAAACTGATTTTTTTTAACTAAAAACTGAAAAAAATGAAAATACTTTTTTCCCCACTTTTTACAAAAAAAAACTGTTTTAAAAAAAGATGAAAAATATTTTCTAAAACAATGTTTTTGTAAAAACTGAAAAATAATTTTCTAAAGCAATGTTGTTTTTGTAAAAACTTGAAAAAACTGAATTGTTTTTACTAAAAACTGAAAAAAAAATATTACAAAAAAAACTCATTTAAAAAAACAGAAATATATTTTCTAAAACAATGTTTTTGTAAAAACTGAAAACAAAACTGAAAAATAATTTCTAAAGCAATGTTTTTGTAAAAACTGAAAAAAAAATCAGTTTTTAGTTAAAAGAAATTCAGTTTTTTCCAGTTTTAAATTGCTTTAGAAAATTATTTTTCAGTTTTGTTTTTCAGTTTTTACAAAAATATTGTTTTAGAAAATATTTTTCGATTTTTTTTAAAGCAGTTTTTTTTTGTAAAACCTGGAAAAAAAATTTCTTTTTTATTTATTTATTTATTTTTTTCAGTTTTTCCAGTTTTTACAAAAAAATATTGCTTTAGAAAATTATTTTTCGGATATGGGTAATGAGTCTTTTTAATTAATTAGGAAATATTTAGAATTGGCCAACAGGACAATGACATGTGTCACTCAGTTTAAATGATTGGTATATTTGAACCAAAAATATGACTGCAGAGGTATAAATAAACTAATAGTATAACGAGAGGTATTCTTAGACCATTTAAAAAAGTAGAAAAGTATATTTGATCCTTTTCCGTTTTGAATTTACCCTATAGTCCCCGCTTTGGTCACAACTCACACCCTTATGTTTTTTGGTGTTCTAGGGTGGAGATTTATTGAGATTCACCACCATTTATCATATTTTATCTTCTTGATTTATTGTTCTCAAGAAAATATATTGAAGAGCCAGATTGCTGATCCCAAGCCGGATAAAGGAAGATGGTGGGGTAAATGCATTTTACTAAATTACAAACAGTTGCCTTACAAACAGTTGACCATGCATTTTACTAAATTGCAAAGCAAAACATTCAACAAAATAATTAAAGAAAAAATCAGCTTAAAAAATGTACTTTAAGAAAATAATGAACAAAAACAATTCTATTTTGTTCTTCTCTTATAGCAAATTATGACTTGTATCCATCAAGATTCAAAGTATATTTAAACTCTATAACACCGTTTCAATCATCTATGACACAAACAAAAATTTAGAGCATAAATTACGGTATTGTATTCTATAATTGTTAATGCATTGTTAGAACGATGGTGCTGGAACTGTCATTCTCTTTATCACTGACATTATTCTCCTACTCTTTATCTTATCTGCTTTGGTTTATTCCATCTTTTCTTAAGAGGAAATATTTATTTTTTGTAGAGTATTGTGAATGACAACGGAAGGATTTTTGAGAAAATATTTAGATAGTGATGATAATAGAAGTCAAGGGAAATGATCAAGGCCAAGTTAACAAAAGTAAATGACACGTCTATTTCAAGGAAATTAAAGAGTTATGATTGCTGGAAATTCTCAAAGAAAAAGAAGTATAAGGTGCAATCGTTACCATTGTTAAGAAAGTGATAGGAGAAATAGAAGGAAAGAGAAGAAGTGCATTAAGAGAATTGAAGACGTGCCTTTTGGATTTGTAACTATAGCACATAAAAGGAAAAAATATGAAACAAGTCAAAAATTTCAGAAATTAGAAAAATATGTATACCGGTTAAAGAGACTTGTCACCTTGTCAGCTAAGGTCCCTCAATTATATATATATATTATCAGGTGATATCGATTCATAATAAGAAAAGAAATTAGTAACCTTGAAAATAAAGCAAATAGCATGTTATATTTTATAAATAGTGCAAAAAATCTTTACCATCCGTGTATATAAGTTAAAATTTACTGGAGTTTAAATCACATTGTGAATTTACTCATATTTAGTCATCAAATATTAAAACCAATTCATTATGAATTCTATAAATGCGGTCCCATATGTTTTCTAATGTGTTCATAACGAGATGTTGCTATAGACATAGGAGGACCTACTATGTTCATAACGAGGTATTAAAACCAATACCTTCATCGGCTTTTTAATCTTAAATGTTCTAAACAAAATATATGACCTTTTTTCAACGCTCCTCTTTTTACCAGCATAGGTCCTCTTTTTCAATATGATTTATATAAAATATTAACACCCATGTGGTAAAACAGATGCTTTCTAACCAACATGATTTTAAATAATTAATTGAAGTTGTCATCGAATAAAGTTAACTCTTTTGTTCTTTATGTGGAATTTAATTGGTACCTTGATTGACTACACCATTGCAGCCCATTTTAGAGGTATGTCATTTTTCTCTGTCTTCTCAGATCTTTTTTCTTGGTTACTATACTATACTACTCCATCTTTCTTGGGTCATCCATTTGTTGATTGTTATTCATATTTATGTTCTTGTTTTCTCTTTTCCATGTATTTTTGCAGTACGCGCTTGCTACCTTTCAGCACTCTTGTTTCCTTATCTGCCATTGAAAGGTTAGCATTCTTGTCATTTTATATCTAATTTTAGGATAGATCTAAACTTTTGGAGTTTCTTGATCGGAAAAGCCACCTAAAATATAGGGAGCACCCATAGGGGTTGTATGGTAAGGAAAAAAGTTACTCCGGGATTAATTATCCGACATTGTTATCCCATACTCCCGTAGGGATAAAAATAATACTACAACTCCGAGATAACTAATGTTGTGATTAGTTATACCACTGTTTTATCCGTAGGATAAATTCATCTCAAATTTAATTTCGGAATTAATTTTCCCTCGTTCCTTGTACCAAACGAGCCCTTAGCTTAATATACCCCATAATTTAGGTTGGCACATATAGTAACCATTTTGATTTAACTATTATCCTATACTGACACGTGTAGTTTCTAGACAAACATTTCAACTTGTGGAAATGAATGCCCTCTCACTCCTAAAGTTCTCCCAATAACATTTAGCATCATCATTCGACCATTTTATATCCATAACTCATCAAGAATTTGGCATAATAATTAGCCCATAAACACTTCATAGCATAAATCTTAAAACATCACTTTTAACATTTAATTAAATAAATATTTTTGAAATCAAGTTAAACATGAGAGCACAAAACCTTAGCTTGAACTTCATCTTATCTCATAGAATCTTCACAAGTCATTAGGGACTAACCATAGTGCTATCATTTATTTCATGGGATTAGTTTAACCAACATATAAAAACATAGGTATTAAAGCATACGATAGCACAATTCATTTCAACATGGGATACATAGCTCGCTTGCTCATACGAAGCTATACAAACACTTTAAACATTTTCATAAACTTAGTTTCATGCATTTTTAGCAAAAATCGGCTTAAAAGGAGGTACATCTTAGCTTACCTCGTTTAGCCTTCCCAACAAGCTCAACAACGCTCAATGAGTCCAAATCAACTCAATTTGCACTCATTGAGTCCAAACAACGCTCAATGAGTACCTTATTATAGACGCAACGTCTATAAGAAGGTACTCAAAAACTTTCCGTTTTACTAGCCCAAATCAATGCACTTTTCTCTCTGTTTTTGCCTTCAATTTGCAACTTTGCTGATCATGTTATTTATAGCCCCATTGACATTTTGCAACTTGCATCTTTCAGGTCATAATTGGAATAGAACAGATATGGCTTATCCTAGTATTGCTTCTCTTATGAGAACAATAAAATCACTCTTGACGTCCAATTCGCCTGTGCAATCTATTATTTGTAACCACAGAGAAGAAATCCTCGCTCTTCACGAAAAAGTTAGTTCCCTGGAAGTATTTCTCAAGAATTTTGAGAAAAGCAATGCATCCAGGAAAATGACAGATTTGGAAGCACAGATAAAAGAAGTTGTAAATGTCGTTGAACACACGATCCAACTGAGAATAACAGAAATGGTAGTGGCAAATGATGAAATACAGGAAGAAAAGGCACATAAGAGGTTTTGTTATAGCCTGCAACAAGTAGCACAGCACATTGATCGCGTCCTGAATGAGTCATCAAAAGATATGGTGGGTCGTGCTGATCAAAGGAAAAGGTTGCTCGACGATCTAACAAGAGGCTTCAACGATGAACCCAAAGTCATCCCAATTGTCGGGATGGGGGGCATTGGTAAAACTACTTTAGCGAAAGATGTTTTCGATGATGTAACCATTCGATCACATTTTGATGTCCGTGCATGGGCTACTATATCCAAAGAACATAATGTCAAAGATATCTTGGTAAGCCTTCTGCGTTCTACGAAAGAAAAGGATGGCATAATTCACATAGAAGATGAGACAGAGCTACCACTCATGCTACAAAAAAGTTTAAAGGGAAAGAGGTACTTAATTGTCTTGGATGACATATGGAAGAATGAAGCATGGGATGACGTAAGACTATGCTTTCCAAGTGAAAACAAAGGGAGTCGAATATTATTGACTACCCGTAACATTGAAGTAGCTTGCTCTGCTGGTACAGAAAATCTTTCTTTGCGGTTGGATTTCATGAATCCGGATGAGAGTTGGAACCTTTTTAAAAGTATTATACCTGCAAATGAAGCATTACCATCTGAGTTCGAGACTGTTGGAAAGCAAATTGTAGAGAAATGTCAAGGGTTACCACTAACAACTGTCGTAGTTGCTGGGCTTTTATCCAAATGTAAAAGGACAATAGAAGTTTGGAAAAATGTTGCTAAAGATGTCAAGTCATTTGTCAAAAATGATCGTGATAAACAATGTCAACATGTGCTTGGGTTGAGTTACAATCACTTGACTAGTGACCTAAAACCATGTCTCCTGTATTTTGGAATTTTTCCAGAAGACAGTGAGATTTCCGTGAAGAGATTGGTGAGGTTATGGACAGCTGAGGGGTTTTTGAAGTCGGAGGAAGAGGCTGAGAAGTGTTTACAAGAGCTTATTGACAGATGTCTAGTTCTCGTCAGCAGGAAAAGTCGGTATGAAACAAAAATTAGATCATGTAAAGTTCATGATTTGATATATGAGTTGTGCTTGAGAGAAGCTGAAAAAAGAACATTTTTTGTCATTAATGACATTGTATTCAATGATGAGCCAAATCATGTTCCTTATCATCATCTTAATAGGCATAAAATGCGGCGCTTTATGGGATGGACTGATGATATTTTGCGCCGTGGTTCTTACAGGGCTCTTCTTACCCCTAGACATAGGAGGAAGACAGATGATGACGACAACAATTCCTTAAAAAGGACTCGTTCAATTTTCTCTTTTTGTCGAGATTCTTCAACTTTTACTCTTAAATCAGAACTTACTCATTTCAATTTAATTAGAATCCTGGACTTGAGTTGCATAAAGATTAATATTTTCCCTCCACAGATACTATGCCTCATTTGGTTGAGGTACCTAGTGTTGCATAGCCGCAGGGGTGTTTTTAACATACCTCCAGAAATTTCCAGGTTATGGAATCTGCAAACATTCATTGTTGGTGGATATCATTTGACATCTACAATTTTGCCAGAACAAATCTGGGGATTAATGCAATTAAGGCATCTCGAACTGAGTTCATTTCATTTGCCAAATCCTCCAATTGTATCTGTTGAAGAAGAGAAGTGCTTAGATTTCTCAAATCTACACACTATTTCTGGCTTGTCTCTGAGTTGTTGCACAAAGGAGGTTATTTCAGGGATTCGGAATGTTAGAAAGTTAAGAATCAATAGAGGAGATGAGTATGAAAGTTTTCAAGCATGTAGACTTTTCGACAACTTTGTCCATCTACATCAACTTGAAACATTGAGTCTTGAACTTGAGTTTCGAGGGGTGTTAGATGAGATTTCACCAGCGACCATTCCAAGTATAAAATCTTTTCCACCAATGCTTAAGAAGTTAAAGTTGTATGGAACTGATCTGAGGTGGGAGGACTTGAATATCATAGGCGAGCTTCCTAATCTTGAGATACTGAAGCTCAAAAGGTATGCTTGTCGTGGCGAAGAATGGCATCCAACTGAAAAGGGATTTACTCAGTTGAAGCTTTTGCTAATTGAGTATAACGATCTCAAGTACTGGAATTCCCCAAATGACAATTTTCCTGTCCTTGAGCGCCTCGTGATTAGAGATTGCTCTGAGTTGGAAGATATACCCATAGATTTTGCATATATTGACTCACTGCAACAAATTGAGTTAACTGACTGTACACCCGAACTCGAGGCTTCTGCTGCACGAATTCAACACGAACAAGAAGAGAACCTCGGAAAGAAGCCAGTGGATGTGCTTATCAGTTCAGGTGAGTATAACATCATATTCCAGAATGAACTTGGCGTAATTGCTTTAGCTTTCCTATTCTTGATTAATACACATTACATTTGGATGATAGAATGCTTCATTTTGAGTGTTTAAACAGATCAACATCTTAAGTCGTAGGTGTAACAAATATAAGTATTTTCTTTTGTAATGACCAAATAATTAATTGCAATTAGCCAAATTAATGTGCTAACAATGATAATAAAATTAGTAGAATAATTCAAATGGTCATGATTCATGAATCTCCTTATTTTGAGTAGTTATAGGTGATGTTCTTTCCTACAATGGATATAGGTGTATATTCCAGAGTGAAATTTCTATTAATTGCTTTTGAAACTTAAAGTGTATGCATCTTTTATAATGATCAAATAATTATTTTTATTCAATAAATTACTTTGATAAATGAAATGCAAACTAAATTACAGGTCAAAATGGCGTTAGATGCTGTAGATGAGTATTTGCCTTTGATGATTTGGGGCTTTCCGTGCATAAGGATTTGTAATGTGCAAATTATAGTTATGGATGTATAAAGAAAGGAGCCCTAGAAATTTTATTTCTGTGACTTTATTCAGCTTCTCTCAACTATTCAGGAGCACATTCAGCAGCAAAAGCGGAGGAGGAAGAGGACGGGGAAGAGGAAGAGGAAGACGAGCTTTGACTACAGAACCATGCCTGTCTGTTGGAGCGAATTGGATGATCGGGCCGAGAGCTGCCCCCTCTTCCTCTCACTCTCCGTTCCCTAATATGAACCTTGAGTCATCAAAGAAGAAGAAGAAGTAGAGGTAAAAGAAATATTTTCTTTGACAATAATCAAGTTGTAACTTAGCTTCTAACTTATACCTGACTCTTTAAGCTTGTTGCTGGTTTTGTGTTTTTTCTTGAATATAGAAATAACAAGCGTCGGATTCTACTCGATAACTATGGTGTTTGAGTGGAAGGATTGAAGTCCAGGGATTTAATTCATCTTGGTGAAAACTGTTAAGACTTTTGGTTATCTTATTCCATTGTTGGAATTTATCATTATGTTACTGAGTTTCAGCAATCTATTGCTCCAAAGTGATTGTGAATTCAGTACACATGTTTAATAACTCATATTTGAGTTTGAAGAATTTTTAGGCGAGTCAGGTCCGGTCGCCCGGACCCATGCAGATAGCGTGGGTTATAGCACACGAAAATCTAGGAATCAGGCGGAATTCTTGTTTTATGATCCTAAAATGTCAAAAACGAGGAACAGTCATGGTGAGACAATGACTATTGTTTCTTAGGTCGTTTTTTTATGTCCCGGCAAAATTTTAGGCGAGTCGGGTCCGGTCGCCCGGATCCATGCAGATAGCCCACGCAAATATTGAAATCTAGTGGAATTTTAGTTTTATGGACCTAAAATGCCAAAAACGAATAACGGTAATGGCGATGCGAGACTATTGAAATCTCATGTGGACAACAATGGGCTAGTTGAAAAGCTTGGGACGCACTTGCCCTCAATGATTAATAAAGGATATAAACTAAAGAATAAAAGCAATATAACAGAATAAACTACAGCACAAGGTAGTGAAAGTGACTTCTGATACAGCACCAACACCAATACTGAAACTGAAACTTATCGAGACACTATGCACATTGGAAAGAATTCAAACACTTTGATAATCTTGTCCATTTATATCAGCTTGAAACATTGAGTGCTATTAAAGTTTATAATCCTGTCATTTTTTTCGCCTCTGTGTATAATGTATTCCAAGTGCAAAAGCTTTTCCTGATCGAAAACTTAAAATTTGGTCAGGACTGGGCTATAGTGTGAGGGACCTGAAGCTGAAGCTGAATTTATGTGCTTGTCATGGCAGAGAATGACATCCAACTGAAGGAGTAACAGGTATTAGAAGGAGGGGCCTTGGTGTAACTGGTAAAGTTGTTGCTATGTGACCAGAAGGTCACGAGTTCGAGCCGTGGAAACAACCTCTTGCAGAAATGCAAGGTGAACCTGCGTACAATAGACTGTTGTGGTCCGACCCTTCCCCGGACCCCGCGCATGGTGGGAGCTTAGTACACTGGACTACCCTTCAGGGGCGAAGCCACATGGTTACAATGGTGGTCAACTGACCACCCTTCGTCGAAAAATTACACTGTGTATATAGGTAAAATATTACGTTTTAGAGGTATATAACACATATTGAACACCCTCGGTCGGGAATTGTTTTTCACTTCTTTCAAATTTGAATACCCTTGGGAAAATTCCTAGTTTCGCCACTGCTGCCCTTTAATATCAGGTATTAATTAGAAAGCCACAAATGAGAGATTGCCTTGATTGGAAGAGATCCCTATTGAGTTTGCATATATTGACTTGTTACAGCTAATTGAGCTAAAGAACTGTAAGCCTAATCCAGGTGAGTTCAATATTATATATCAGATTTTGAATGAACTTCAAAAATTTGCTTTTGAAACTTAATGAAATTGCCTTCGATTGGTGAGAAAATGTGATTTTTACACTAAAGACCTTGTATTATAATCAAGTAATCTATTATATTCATTGTAGATGCTTTAATATAGCGATCCAAGATTTAGAGTCTGTGTATTCTGACTAGTCGTGATATTCACACATTTTAAAAAATAATTCATATACACATACACACGCTCGCACATGTGGCTCGAGTTGAAATCTATGAATTTAGTTGAATACGCTCTAAATCTGCCTCTGGATACTTGTGACTAGTCAAACTACTAAGTACCGTTTATGTTTCTTTGAATTTTTTTCGGTCATTTCTTTTCTATATAATTACTCACCTTTTGAAAACAATGCAATGATGCAAAAAAAAAAAAGAAAAAAAAAGAGAGGGGAGAGTTTGCATAATTTTCGGTGGTAAAAACTGAGGCAAAGCCTCTGATTTTATAGCGAACGAGTTGGAGTTCAATAGGTATAAAGATGCCTGTTCGTGAACAAAGTGTGTATTGGGCAAAAATGTTCAAATTTCTGTTAATTACTGTTTGGGAAATTTCTTGTATCGTTAGAAAAATACCGTGAATTTTAAATTAATAATGGAAAAGGGCAAATAATATTGGGGATCCAAATTCAAAATCGAAGCCGAGGCCCAAATTGAGCAACGACGACGCAAGACTTACTTTCTACTCAGCTCTTCAAGAATTAGAAAAAATGCTTTTCTATTTAAGCAAAATATGTTTCTTCTATTTTTCCAATGAAAGACAAAGTTCTCTCCTAAAATGAATCTTTTCAAAATTCTTATTTCCCTTCATATTCACACCACACTTAAAAACTTAGCAGTTATAACCATCCGAACATGGTGTGTTATATATTTTAATGTTGCGCATGTGCTATAATATAATATTACCCTGTAAAATGTGGCACAAAATGTGGATCTCAAACACATTTTTTAAGATAACGGCACCCCATGCGAAGGTGTATATGACGGTGCAAGAAAACTTTCGAAATTTATATAAAACCTATTATATATTTTAGATAATTTTCTTGTTATAAAATCATGTTACTAAGATAAAAAAAAAATTAAAGTTAAATTATTTTTAAATATAAAAAGATGTCAATATTTTAAAATATACTTTGAAAAAATGAGTCAAATAAGCGGTGAGTCACGGATGCAATACTCTCCATCAAATCTTAGTGCATGTATCGCTCTAGATTATCTAATGTGAAGTCAAATGCAATTGTTTTGTATTATTGTTACCTGTTGTTTTATAATATATTGTATTATACTGTATCATTTGTATTTTTATGGATATAATATTTGGATAGATTATATCATTTACAGTTGTTAAGTAATAATATTTTTATTTTTCTGATTTGACTATATCGACTTAGGAAAAAACACTACTAAAAAACTAGCTAATTTCGCCCAGGAAAACCGACCGAAATCGGTCTGAAATTGAGAAAAAACGACTGATTTTCGACCGCTTTTAATTAGTCGGAAAAATAATGGTCGCTAAGGTATTTCGACCGAAATCGGTCGGATTCAATGCGTTGACTGACAGTCAAACTACATTTACCGACCGAAATCGGTCAGTTTTAATTAATCTTTTTAATTTAATTTTTAAAATACCGACCAAAATCGGTCGGAATTTTAAATATATAATAATTTTAGAAATCTTCCAGATATATATATTTTTTGTATTGCATGTATACTCCCGAGCCCGAGATATCATAGCACCACAATATTATGTCTTATTACTATATTACTAATTAGTACTAGTATATATTGTCATTATTATTTTATTGAATTCCAATTCTAAATATAGAATATTAAATCTTATTACTAAGCACTAACTACAACCCTTCCTATATTTGCTTATTTTTGTTAGTCCATAAATGTTGGACTCTATGCATCAAAGCTCAACTTATAAGATTGAAAAGCTCACATCTTTTAGCCGATGTGGGACAAGAGTATTTCCCAATTTTCGATCAAAATCGGTCGAAATTTTTGAAAAATTTTAATAAAAATTATTTTCCCATTTCAACCGATGTGGGACAAGAAAATAATTTCAAATTCCGACCGAAATCGGACGGAATTTTTGAAATATTATAATAAAAAATTATTTTCCCATGGAAAAACCCACTACTTCTCTTCCCATGGAATATTTATTTACGAATCTATCCATTTTATTATTTGTTTGTTTCTTTTCTTTTTTTTATGAAAAAAAGAGTGCATTAAATAAGGATTCCATAAATCAATAAAAAATTATTTCAAGTGAATAAAATTATGATTACATTTTAATGTAAAAATATGCTTAGTTATTTTTTCTAAAATTTCATTTATAATCCTGAAATAACACATTAATTGTTTTATATAAAAAAATATATTAACTAACCAGAATTAAATATATCGTACATTGGTTAAGTAATTGGTATATAAGCTATAAGCTATATTCAATATATATATCTTAAGATGCACGTATAGTATAGTATNAGTTGTATCCAATTATATTAAGTTGTATTAATACAATTTAATTCAATTATAGTAAGTTTTAATCGAACATAATTGAATTTTCAATTGATCCACCGATCAAGCATTCGTGTATATATAGTATAGTGTATATATATATACATCTTAATATAGCTAATATTATATCGAATATATATATATATGCAACATCGGGAGGCGACATCGCTCGTGACAGCTGATGGTTTTTGGCAACGGAACGACGAGGCCTCGTGCAAGTAGCGCCGCAAGGTGCCGTGCGCATGGGGCAAGACTCAGTACATTCTGAAGGCCATCGGTTGTTGTGAGTTATGTCTGGCATCGCTCGTGGCGGCTGATGGCTTTTGGCAACGGAACGACGAAGCATCGTGCAAGTAGTGTCGTATATATATATATATATATATATATTATTAAATTTATATTTTAATTATTTTAAAATCATTTTTTCGACCGAAGTCGATTGAAAATATTTAATTATAACTTATTCCGGTTGGTTAATTAAATATATATAATTTTTGTTATATTAAAACCAATTGCCTTGGGCGGGAAATAATAATTTCAAAATTCCCAACCGAATTCGGTAGAAAATTTGGAAAACTTTTAATAATTTTTTTTTTTGTACATTATATACAAGTATGACCAGGTATTGGTCAAATATTGATCAATTTTCGACCGAAATCGGTCGGAATTTTTATTTTTTTTCTGTGGGACCACTATTTCCGTTGTGAGAAATATTTTTGTTGACTTTTGCGACCAATTTAACAATTTCCGACCGATTTCGGTTGGATTTTTTTCTCATCGATTTCGCTCATTATTCCTTGGACGAAATATGCCAGTTTTCTAGTAGTGAACATGAACACTTGTAATTTTTTATAATTTGCTCCATATATTCATGTACGTCTTTATGCAATATATGACTCCATATTTTGATGCACTTCTTTATAATATATTATTTCGTAGAACAAAAATATGGTCATAGATACATGTAGTTTCAAATAAGGGAAACAACCTGAGCAAATTAAATAGTAAACTAAAATCAGCAAAAAGTATCCAAATAATATGGATTGAGATAAAGGATACAGAAAAAAGGAACAGGAGAACGAACCAATGATTTGGACGGCGGCGAATGCAAAAATAAGGTAATTGGGTGGAGTAAAATATAAAATAGAATTATAGAGAATAAGTAAGGACATAATTGGAAAGAAAAATAGAAAATAATCTCACCACACTGGTTGTTTCGTAGAATGAGGCTTTTCATTATTTCCGAACAATTAATTTAACAATACAATACAATACGACTAATTTTAAATAAACAATCAAAACAAATACTCCTTCTATTTCAATTTAGATGACACATTTTCCTTATTAGTCTGTTTTAAAATGAATGATATATTTCTACAATTAGATATAATACAACTTTAAACTCTTTATTTTATCCTTAATGAGAAAATTTTATATCCACACAAATGTCATTACCCCACAAAACTTTTACCTCTTAAGCTTTTAAGATCACAAGTTTCAAAAGTCCTTAAATTCCGTACCGAGTCGAAGTACCTCGTCTGAATTGAAACGGAAGGTGTATTATTTTGGGATAATAATAATACAATACTCCTTTTGCGAATAAAACAAATAAACGCTCTGACTTTTCCGGGTCAACTCTCATCGAACTTCTCATCAATTTTTTTAAGAAGACTAACTCTTTCTTTCTTTCGATATATTATGGAATTTACTCAGTAACTAGATTGCTTTTGTAGCTGGTTGCTACTTCAAAACCCTCCTGCATTGCCAATCTGCATTGAAAGGTTAGTTGTCCTTACTCGTCATTTGATTACTTTAGAGCTAAAGAACACTTGTGGCTGATCAAAGTTTTAGCACTATATACAGTACAAGTCTACATTTAGGATAGATACCAAACTTATTGAGAGTATTATGGCAATAATAACAAATCTAATAAGAATTTGGAATATGTTGGGAATGACGATTTTGACGAGCCTCTGGTACATATAATATTTTGCTGGTATTAGGTTTTTATGACTACGTGTCGTTCGATCATCTTACTATCTTGTTGTTATTTATGCTGCCTTTACATGGCTTCTCGTTGTTGCCCCTTCTTATTTTTCTTTTCACTAATGTGGTGCTTATACTTTCTTGAGTCGAGGGTCTATTGAAAACAATTTTTTTATCTCCACAAGGTAGGATGAAGTTCGCGTGAGTACATACTACCTTTCCTAGACCCCATTATGTGCGATTATACTGGGTATGTTGTTGTTTGTAGTCTGTTACATTCTAGTATAGTTTAAGAGGTTGTCTCACATAGTGGCGGATCTAAGATTTGTAAGTCGTGGGTGCCCCTTGGAGTGCGGCCTTTTTACGGACCCAACGTGAATGCAGGATGCTTTGTGCACTAGAGTGGT